ATTCCTGGTTGCCTTGGACGCTTAGATCTAAAGAACGGAGGAGGACATATAAAAAACGGAGCAGTCACTGGTTCAATCTCCCATATTGAGACTCGATTGCGTCTTTCACCAGCGGTTGATTCATCCCAACCAACCTATGAAAGAGTATGGAGTGTTTAAACGGTAATGCGCTTATTATGTAAATTTGGCATGATTGGAATCATAAGAGGATGTCACAATTTCTACCTGCAAATTACGCCACTGTGAATTTTTCCATCTTACAGGATCAAGATCACTGATACCTGTAATGGTGCCCATATACCTGCAGTCGAGATTCAATTTCTTTAACTTTCTAATTGGTGAAGAAAATTGAGTTTATTATGTTATAAGAACACCAGGCAAAGAATCTAGGAATTGAGCTCCGGCTCGCTAGGAACAGGTACTAAACAGCTCAACTAAAACACCTTTCAGAGTCAAATTAATCCAATGACACACTCCTTCCCAACAACATGCCCTCAGGTCTCCATAGAATTCCATTTCAAGTTCACAATTCTTGAAATCAATAGTATTCAAATGAAATTCAAGAAGTGCCAAAAGACCAAATGTACCTTCTTGTTCCTGACTCTTCAGTTTCAAACATCATGCGAAAGCGCATTCCAAGGGATATTTGGTTGCTGTAAACTGCCTTGTAATACTTGGCTAAAGGGATAACAAATTCTGATGGACTTGCCCTGCATAAAATTTGCATCTGGTGTCAATTAATCCAACACAAACAACCTAATTAATATGAGTTCAGGAATTTTTAAAAAACAAAGCACCCTACAAAGATAAATATAAGTAATTCACCTGGGATTATAGAACACAGTAAAAGGGCTATTGTTTGCTGCTGCATGGGCTGCAGCAGCTAGGATCCCAATATGCATGCTATCACTTGACAATACTGATGATGATAAGTTGGTAGGTTGCCTGTTAGCCCTTCTGATGCCCAATAGAAGCTGCTGCTTTTCATCTCTAATCACATATAATAAGCAGCATTATGTTGATTAAAAGGGCATGTTTATAGTAAGAAAGTGACCTGAACTTGAAATGCATGTATACAAGATTTAAGATACCTGAGAATATGAGAATTGAATTTCAGTAAAATAAGTCCTTTTGAAACATAAATTCACTAATTCTTACCTAATAAATAAAACTGAGTCACCAGCAAAAAGCCTCTTTCCACTGACAAATAGGCTCCACCCAGTTGTAAGCAGATGACGCTTTGGTTGTCCTGGTTATAGAGAAAACAGGAACTTACATAAGATAACAACAAATTTGGTAACGAACAATTACTGATTGTAAGTATAAGAACCATTGGGTATCAACTAATTAGTTTTCATGAGTGCTGCAAAATTAACATACCACGATAGATATGCCGGAAAGTCCAAACATTATCATGCAAATCCCTGGCTACAAGTTCTTGAGCAGGTGGTTGCATGGAGAAATTCTATACAAGGGAAAGGGAAAAGATTAAATAATGCTATTAGGACTAACTTGAACACTACTATTTTAGGACTAACAGAGAACAGCTTACAAGTGGTGGGAAGATTTTCTCAGCTGCCCGGCGAGGAACAGAGAAACCTCCATGAGTGCTCGTATCACTTGCTGTTAATGTTTTACAGAAAAACTCTGTCTGTGGTTTATTTGACTTCAGTGCAAGATCTGACCTCAATAACGCATCCTTGTCAAACTGCAAAAGGATTGACAAGGTTGCTGATAGATTCAGTAGAAGTTAGCAACTAAAAACATGCTAAAGTCATTCTATAAATTTTCTGGCAATTGCATAGGGATCGGTTATTGCCAATTCATTTCTAGGTGCTTTTCTTAGTCCAAACACCTAAAGCAAGTATGCTTTTTTTCAGTTATTATGAATCAAGTTCTTACGGAAGAAACAGGTTGAAGGGTCATCTGAGCATAAACTTCATCTGTTTCTGGGTCCGCCTACAAAATCAAACAAAAGAACTAAAATAATTGAGTGACCAAATAAAGAAATTTTTTGATGTTAGACATGAAGGCCAGAAAGGTAAGCTATTTTACATGTAAGGTGACATTGTGCAGGAGACAAAGTAGCTTCGATGGAAGATTAGGGTAGTTTGGGATTTGGGCATCTACATCCTTTTTCATGGATGCTGCAACCTGAAAACAGTAACTTTATTCTCAAGTAAGAACATGGACTGACTTCTGAAGGAGAAAAAAAAAAGAAAAGTATAAAATTCCATCCACAATAATCATGAAACCAATTTATAACTGAATATATTTTTCATGTTACACCTACTGGTTCTGTCACCTTGTTCAGTCGAAACAGAAAACTTGCACAAGCCTCAAAAAATTGTCAATATTTGTCAGGCTTTATCAGAGAACATGATCATGGTTCAAAGTTTGCATTATAAGTAAATTGACATGCAAATACACAATGACCTGTGTGACTCTTGATGATTAACTGTAACATTAAGAGAAATTTCAGTTAACATAAATTACAGAGTCAAAGAAGTCAAAACCTCAAGATCCTATTTTTTTTGTTATTTTTGATCAACTAACATTACAGTTTTCTATTAAAAGAAAACTCACGGGGACCATGAGTTGACTTAATAAACACAAGCCAGATGATACAATGCATTGATGGTTTTTAGTAATCAAAAGGAGCACATGACAGCAAGATCATACATAACCAGAGAATATTTCTATTATTACTCAAAGCCGCATTAAATCAAGTTTAACACAATCTGAATCAAGGCCAAAAGGGTAGCTTCAACTTGCCACCTAAAATAGAACCCTCAAAAGTAAATCCCAAATCTTGATCTACTTTTCCTTTCCTTATAATCTACCTATTTATTACACCCAACCAACCAGTTTAGGTAAAATTATAAAACTTAGCACACACTAGATCAAAATCCTAACACGCCATTTACCACAAATAATTAGCCGATAAATCCCATTAAAAGAAGGGTGTAGGCTGGTGGGACACATTTTTGGCACAAAATAGCAACAGACACGAACCTGTTCACTATGCCCTTGGGGGAAGTAGACCACATGAGTTCCGGCCGCCGGCAAGTTCACTAGTGGTCCTGCACATGCTTGCCATAATTCAGGGTTTATGCTCTTCTTCTCTGCCCCTGCATCATCACCACGTGTCTCGCACTCATTAGTCGATAAATTCCCCTTCAAAATCCTCATTTATTTTCCTCTTTGTTTGTTTTCCGGGAAAACAAACCGAGCCCAGAAAAGGAAAAGGAAACAGACTTGCAAATCAATCTTGTTTTTAAGCAAAGAAGGAAAAACCACATAAACAAATACACAAAAAATAGATTCCAAAAATATAGAGACAAACCGGCGCTTAGAGAGAAATGTAATAAAGACAAAACTAAAACAAAACAACCTTGATGGGTAGTTATTTACACATAAAATCTCTTAACATTTTTATCAATGCTTTACACACATCTCCTTTAAATCTATTGCTAACAACAAATAAATAAAGACAAGGTAATAGCATAAATTAAGAGATGACCAAACCTTCACCGTTGGTAGCTGTGGAGGTTGCGGCGGTTCCTCCGGCACCGGTTGCCGGTGACTTCATTGGTTTCTTTATGGAAACTCAAAAAAAAAAAAAGTCTTTTTTATACAAAACAAGAAAGTTCCTCACTTTCTCATAATTTTAAGCTTTTTTAAGATCAAAAGGTGAGCTTCAAAGTAACTCAGTACGAAAATTATAAACGTAAGCAGATTTTTTAGCTTAGATCAGCTCAATAAACAAGAAAAAACCAAACTTCTGAAGAAATGAAATGAAGGGGTGGACTTTCAAGTGAAAAAAATATTATGGGGTTGGTTTGATAGAAAGGGAGTGAGTTTTCCCGGCGAGGAATTCCGGCAAGGTCGCCGGAGATATGGTGGAGAAACGAAAAAAAAAAAACAATAAAAAACCAAGAAATAGGTTTTTATGGGATAGAGAGTTTCTGCTGAATTTTTCAGGGACCAAGTGTTGAAGCTTTGCCCCCTTTCTTCCCCTACATTACCCAGACAAATTTCCACTCTTTCCCTCTGCTTTCCTCCCTCTGCTTTTGCCTTGCTTTCTTACACTTCTCTTTCTCTCTCCTGGTCTATTCTTTCTTTCTCTCTCTAGAGTATTTTATATGTATTACTAAAAAACAGCTCTCTCTCTCTCTCTGTCCTTGAAAATGGCACTGACTTCTCACAAGTCACAAGTAAGCAACCACCTCCGGCCCTACAAAAGTAGAGTCCTCATGTAGGTTGAGTAGGGTTAATGTGGAGGATTATGTACTTCATTTCTCAACTCAACCATAGTTAATCTTCTTACATTAGTATCATCGTATTTTCACGTTGTCTTGTCGTAAATGGTACTTTGGATAAGATATTAGGTTATAAAACCACTAAATCGGTGACGTGCACGATGCCGTGGGCGGGGCTAATTTCTTTTAACTTAAAAAAAGATTAAGAGGATAATAATATTTTTAAGGAAATTAAAAAAAAAAAGTTATAGCCCGGTTAAATTTTAATTGATTTAATGATATAATAAAAAAATAATATAACGTCAAAAAAATTAGAATTTTTTTTCTCTGGCTGCAGATGAAACTTGTAACTTAAACACAACATGAGATATGTTTAAAATTATATATTTACTGTGTGTTGAGTAAGGGTAATTTAATAAAAAAAATTGATGATAAATAAAAAAAGATAAATATAAATATACATATTTGGTATCCCAACACTATGTTTAATAAGTTCATTTATTAAAATTAGATATTTGGTATCCCAACACTAGTTATTTATCATGTTATGTTTAATAAGTTCATTTATTAAAATTAATTTGTGATAGAAATTGATATACATAAAATTTATTAAATAAAAAAAAATATTATACAAGACTATATATATTAAAAATATTATAAAAAATATTTTTAATTTTTAAAAATAAATTTAATTTATTAAAATATATTAAAAAACTACAAATAAATCATATTAATCTCTTTAAAAACTAAACACGCATAACATAATTAAAAAAATCAATATTTAAAAAATTGATAAATAAATAAAAAATATCATTGATAATAGATATTAATTAAAATATAAACTTAGAAAAAAAACATATAAAAGGATATTAATTAAAAAATCAAGTTAAAAAAAATAGGGTCATGCATTACTGGATTTAATAAATTAGGCTAGGAGCTACCGGCAAGGTGAGTCAAATTAAGTGCCTTGGACATGCAAGTTTAGACTTACCCGCATGAGCTTTTTACTTATTGTTTTTAAGTTAATAACCCCCGTTTTGTTTTATTTAAAAAAAAAAACAATGTGTTGTTTGGATCCCCTGAATTTTAGTTGTTATGGTGCTGGAAAAACAAATTTCATGTTTTCTTCATCCAAAAGCTCGTTTTTTATTTAAAGCATCCAAAAAACATTCTAGAAACTTTATTAAATTAATTCATATTTTTAAAAAAAAATTCAAAACTTAAAAGTAAAAACCTTTTTTAAGCTAAAATCTGTTTTTTAGGGCAATTCTAAGATAAAAAAAAACACATAGTTAAATTCCTCGTCATATAAAACTATTTAACATAAAAATTAACATCTTAATTATTAATATCGCTGTCAATTATAATTTTTTCTCTTTACATTGAAATTTAGCAAATCCCTCTTTATTATCTCACCAAAAAGAGATTGAAAAATGAGGAAAATAAAGTTTGATATTAAAACTATAATTTTAAAAACTAAAGAGATGGGTCATGCAAGATTTATAAATATATAAGAGACTAGAATGAATTTTTTAAATAAATTTCAAACTCATCATCTATTTTATCTATGTTCATCATTTCAGTTTTTTTTTTTTAATTTAGCCCTTTCTTCTAAAAAATATAATTGGATGTTAATTTAGGTTTAAAATCACTCAATTGCACGAAATAAAAGCTTGAGCATCAACATAAAAATTAAGATAGTGAATTTACAATGCAAGTAAAGGTAGTTTAATATATAATGAATATTCGGATTAATCCTCTCTTTTTTCTCTTTCCGGGTAAGAAGTTTAATGCTAAACACCACAGAATATTAAGATTAGAGTGAAAAAATCAATGAAGTGTCTCGAAGTTGTTAGTTATTTGAATTTAAATTTAGGACGTGAAGGATTTTTTATTTGCAAATTGCAAAATTTTGTGGGCGGAGAAGATACTAACTAAAATAGTTAATACGATTTTGCTATTTTACAGTGATGATCCATGGGGGCTTTTTTCTGGTCCCGGAAACAAGGGATGTTTTGATAAGAGATATATTAAAATGTTAATAAACTATAATTTTTAATCTGCCATGTCTAAACGCTTTCAGGACCAATTAAATTCTTGTTATAATTTGCTATTTATCCGTAAATTAGCAATGCTCCGAGGGCTAAAATTGGGACAGCAATTTATTAGCACTAGCCCTTAATATCATTATGTTTTTCATTCATCAGTTTCGGCTTGAGTAAGAGAATGATTGTGGTTTTTTTAAAGTATTTTTTATGTTAAATTATATTAAAATAATATTTTTTTATTTTAAATAATTAAATTTAATATTAATATATTAAAACAATTTAAATTTAAAAAAATAATTTAAAAAAAAAACGTCACCAAATGTTTATATAAAAAAATATTTAAAAAAAAAACGTCACCAAATGTTTAGAGGTAAACCTAACTTCCTAGTAAATGTCTATTAAAAGTAAACAGAAAACATGGCAAAGACTTTTCTATAGCTATAGAAAATGTCTTAAAAAAATTATACATCCTAAGCATAGTTTTAAAATTTAGTATAGTCTATTGAGCTGATTTAGGGTTAGAACTTGACCAAGTTGAAAAAAAAAAAAAAATTTAATATGATCCGACAAAATCTAATTAAAACCTGGTTGTAATCCTGTTATTTTTTTCTATTTTTTTACTGAAATAATACTGTTTTAATTATTTAAAAAATTAACCCAGCCCATCTGTTAACCCAGTCAAAGTCTAATAGTTCAATTAAAATTTAAAACCCGAATTTTAAGCCTAACTGGATTTTAAAAGTATGATCCCAGGGCTTTGTGAAGAAAAGAGTGATAAGTGATCTACCAACCCACTACAGGCAGAGAAAAACACACAAGTGATTTTCGTAACAGGCCATTTGCTTTGACCATCACCATCACCACCCACTGTGAACATATTTGTTGCACGTGACCAGTACCTATTCTTTCTAAGCTTTTTTTTTAATTCAATAAATAAATTGATTAAATATAAATATAATTGAATAAATAATTCATATCACAATATTAAATATCTTGATTACCTAACCCAATACAGGCAGAGATATTTGTGCTCTCTTTTAATGGTATTTTGCAACTAAAATGCATATCGGATTTGACAATAACACACTCCATGTTAGATTCTAAGGCAAGCATTCATGAATCCCATCCCATCTATAATTGATGCATTACTGCTTCATTTAATAGTTTATTGTTCTTTACAGAAGATTGATTAATTAATGAATAAGGGACGATTTAGAGATAAATATTTTGACAATTTATGAAGTCCAATAACTCATCTGGTGAATTCAATAGAGATAGCCATGTTGTCACAGTGAAATCAACGTAATGGAGTGAGTTTGGTGATTCAGAAAACTTTTTTTTTTAAAAAAAATAATAAGTTTAAACTTTGGACCTGACATTTAAAATATTTATCTAAATGCTATTAATTATTGTATGGGGTGTATATTTAAAATTGTTTTTGACAAAAATTAATCACATATATCGTCAAATGTCAAGTGAAAATAATGTTATTGGATTCGGCATGATAATTTTAATCACATATATCTTCTAAATACCATTAATTAATTAAACATAGAAATTTAGAGATAAATAAAATATTTTAACAGCGGCAATAATATAATTTGAATTTCTAACATTAAAAGTACATGGGCCTGAAAATTAGCATTTTATTGGTAGATTTGACGTTCTTTTTAATCTTTTAATTAAATGCATGTATTTGCATACATAAATTGCAAACACTTCCACGCATCATAGAAAGAAGACGAGCATTGAAGAGATGAGACAATTACACCTCCCATACAAACTATCTAGTAGGTGTAATTTAGTGATAAAAGTTTGGGACAAAAAAATTTATTTTTTTATAATTTCAAGTTTGAGTTTTGTAATTATTAATATAATAATAATTAAAAATTTATATAATTATTAATTTTAAAATTAATAAAACTAATAAAAATATACACAAACTAACTTGAATACTCATGACAATAAATTAGGTGAACAAAGTGCCATCCTTCCAGTCCACGCTTGTTTGAACCTTTTTCCAGGGTTACTAGGCCTTTTTCTTATAAAATAAAATCTCTTTAAATTACTATTTGGAAAAACTGCAATAAGCATGTTGTAGTTTGATAATTTTTTCACTTTACAATCAATAACTCAAAAATTACACTTTATATCTTGAATTAAAATAAATTTTAAAATTTAATAAAATGACAATAATACTCCAATATATATATTAAATCATAAATCTCGTCACTTCCATATCACTCATTCTCTCATTTTGACTTCACATTGTCTCGTCTCTCAAGTTCTCTGTCACTTTCTCTGTCAAACACAAATTCTCATTTAGACACATTCTCTTCTCACGTTCTGATGTTGAAATTGATTTCTCGTCTATAACACAGCAATAAAAGGGTGTGTGCCAATTCTTTTCTTGAATTGAGATATATATATATATATATATATATATATATATATATATATGTTAATTTGCACTGTCACAATTACTTTTTAAATTTATTAAATATTTTATAAGTCCAATAAATAAATAAAACATCATAAAAATAACAGATATACATGTAAAGAATCAAACCTAGATGCATAAATAAATAATTCCCTGTTAAGACCCGCCCCAACACGCCACGACCTCAAGCCTTGGATTGAGATTTTGAAACATGTTTACATTGCATTTTTGTTAAGGGTAAGTCATTATAATATAGGTTTTGTTTCCTTAGTTTAATAAAAAAAAAAGTAACAAATATGTTGCTTAGAATTTGAAATGTAAATCCTGAAGGCACGATATCCCTGAACAATTTAAATTTTTTTGTTCAATCTAGACCCTTAAACACCT